TTATAATGATTATAGTTTTTCTGGTCTTTTCGGTTGTAATTGTCTCGGTATTTTAATATAATTCGCCTGGGTAGGTTTTCTCTTTCGCAGCATTGTTGCATTAATGTTTCAATGTGGGTCTAGGCTAGGAAACCATTATATTTTTTGACGGAAAGTCTCTGCTAAATGCCAAGAAATTATTTTTTTAAAACTGACTTTAATTTCGAAATTCTCAGTGAAGATATTCTTTGTATAATTTTTCATCAATATGATCGCATACCTTCTATTTTTACCTGCTACATTATAAACTGTTCATATACACATAATGTTGCATTTTATCGTTGAAAACAAAAAAAAACTAAGTTTATTTTAGCTAAGGTGTGGTAATAAAGTGATTAGTCGATGTCGGTCCGTTTTTAGGCATATAGGCGAGCGATATGGACAGTTGAGTTGAATTGGCTCGTATAATTGACAGTGATGACGAACAGCAAATTGATTTTGAAATGATGTTTATGAGAAAGCAGAAAAATATGGTGAAACTCGGTGAAATAAATCAGTAGCGTATCTCAAAGGGGCTACAGAACGCTACAGGCTGAGGGTGGGGCGGTGCGGTTACGCAGTATAAATCCGAGCAAGCGGAAAGAAGTTCTTATTCGCGGTACCGAAATCTAGCCACATTTTGGTAAATCACATTACCATGGGTGATTTGTACGTATATAGATCAGTATTGTTGGTCCGGCATACAGTTCTTGTCGATGTTCGCTATTGCAAGAACTAGCGTTGTTTTCCAAATTCGAAAATCTTGTATATTCTACACATGCTTTTGCGTACTTTATTATTTCTTTTGTCTTTCACTGTGCGAGATGCTGGACGATAATATATCATTCTTAGTATAAGTAAGTAAACAACGCGTGTACAGTTGCTCCACGTAAAAGGCAAATAGGAAACAGCATGCCGTCTTAGCCATACAGCTTTCGATATTGCTTTTTTAGAGAATGAAAGCAACCTGGCTGGATGGATCAGATTGACAGCAACCAGGATAGTTTATTGTATCGAAGAAGAAACCCGTGAATGGCGATATCATGAAAGTTTAATAGAGACGAGCACCTCAGTGGATTACGATTAGAGCTAATCATTACGGTGATCAAGCAGCTTGATGGATAGCAGTAGATGTATATGTATATCTTCCATCTGATCAGTTTCCTCATGCGGTCCGTCTTCTTTTCTTGAATCTTGTTATCCGTTTTACCTACGTAAACCGAGCCGCAGGAGCACGAGAGTTGGTACACCCATCCGGCTTTCTGATCCTTAAGTTCTGGATCTTGAGGTAGGTTAGTTGGTTACGTAGAGTTGCACCAGGTTTGAATTCCAGATAGAGCCCGGCTTGAGATCCAAGCAGCCATTACTCAATTGCCGAGCGTATGGCAAGGTAATATGATTTGTTTTCATGTGGGCGGGGCGATTCTCAATGCTTTCGATAAACTTGCCAAGCCTAGCCGTTCGTTTAACGTCTTCATAGTATAGTCGTTCTTTTTTGGCATCGATCTGGTGTGATTTAATTTTTGGCGATAATCATCGTCTGTTGTGCATATCCTCCGGCCTCTTTGGAGAAGTGTATTGACGACACTTTTCTTTACACCATCTGGATGATAAGAAGATATAGGTACTTGTTAATAGACGTCTTCTTGCGAAACACCGTGGTCAAATATCCCTTCTGGTGGTGCCATACTTGCACATCCAAGAAGAGTAGGATGCTGTTTTCTTTCTCCATAATAGAAATTATAAAGCTTGGGAACGGGCTGTTCAGATGTTTCACAAACGACACTTCAACTCCACTTTTACAGAGGTTAAACGTATCTTTTGAAAAAGGTTGGATAGACATCTTTGTCAACCTCTCTTCATTCGTACCATTATAACATTACGTGCCTTTCTCACCATTCAGAAGACTGACAGAGCTTGGTGTAAGACGCCAGATGGCCTTAATTACAGAATATTTTATGCATTGTTTTCTCGTTTGTGAGTGCTGTAATTGCGTGAGTTATTCCATCTTTCATAGTAACAAATTGGTAAATAAAATTTTGTGGTTGACTGCGTATAGCTAATATGCGAAATTTATTGCTTTGTGCGTATGATTTTGTTTATGTGTGTTAATTCATGCTACTTATTCACTAATCTTTTCACTTTCGCTTTGTCTGTAAATCTAACCGTTTGTTTTTATTGGTTGTATTCAGGAAAAAGGAAACTTTTGTACCCGTTAAGAATGTAGCTCGTTTTTACTTTGTCATGATGGGGCCATTTCAGGCGCCATTCTTATGAATATGATTTCTATTTCCATGTGAGACGAGTCCTTTATTTTAAAGACAGATTCGACAGGAGCTATGTGAAAAACGGTGTACAGTGTCCTATTTCCCTCCCACGGAGTAAAACCTCTCGCTCGATTCCGGAACTTCTCGCTTCAGAGTCAAATTCTTTACCGGTTGAGCAACCCCAGTCTAAAAGTGAAGATCTTTATGTAATAAGGTATTAAATTGGAAGTCTTGCAGTCATCAGTGCCACTGATTGATCACCGGTTTTTTCTATCTAAACCAGAATTTTTGATGTATTTTTTTTTCTGTGATGGTTTAGCGATGATTCAAAACAATTTAAGGTAAGTTTAAAGTTTGGCAGCTTGTAAAGTTTAAGGTGAAATTGAAACATGATTTGAACAAGAAACTGATAACTGCATATCAAAGGAACGTCATTCTCGCGAGTGATAAATAAAATATGTGACATAAGAGATAAGAAACTGTTTTGTAAGGTTCAAATAGTTAAGATTTAGGTGCATGTAAGAATTCGAAGATTTTCTACATAAGGGGTAAGAAATGTGAATCCGATTCTCGAAGAACTCGTTTAATCCGACGCCCTGAAGATTCTCGCGCGTCCGTTCATTTCTACCTGTTTACTCATAGTAAAAAAGTAAATAAAGTTAGGCATATCAGTCGAAAATTCGACCTTTGATATTTATTTTATCTCTGTTATAAAAAAATGTTCTTGTGCATTTTTTAATTTCAGACAGCGATGTCGTTGGCCGACGAATTGTTAGCGGATTTAGAAGAGGATGTGGAACACTTTTCCACTGCCCATGAACAGTACATGGACGACATCGAAGATGTGGGCGACGTGGGCGGGGGCCAGTCATACGATCGAATTACGGCGGTAGCCCGGCTGTTTCAGTCGGAGCAGTTCAAAGAAGTGATGAAGTTCGTCGAAGACGGCATAACCAAGCCGTGCGAGCAAAAGATGTGCGGACCGGTGGAGTCGAATCCGGAGTACCGATTGATCGTCGAGGCGAACAATTTAGCCGTCGAGGTTGACAACGAAATCGATGTGATCCACAAGTTCGTACGCGACAAATACAGTAAGCGTTTTCCGGAACTCGAGTCACTGGTGCCTATGCCGATCGAGTATATCACATGTGTCAAGGAGCTTGGCAATGACATTTTGGAAAAGGCGAAGAACAGCGAGCACATGCAGAAGATTTTGATGCCAGCGACGGTGATCGTCGTCAGCGTGACGGCATCGACGACACAGGGCGAGCCTTTGACCTCCGAGGAGCTGAGCGTACTCATGGAGGCGTGTGACATGGCGTTGGACCTGAACGCAGCTAAGATCAAGATCTACGAGTTCGTCGAGACACGCATGCACTTCATCGCACCCAATCTGTCAGCGATTGTTGGCGCAGCGACCGCCGCCAAGCTAATGGGCGTCGCCGGTGGTCTCACGCAGCTGAGCAAAATGCCAGCATGTAATATCCTGGTCCTCGGCTCCCAGAAGCGGGCGTTGACCGGTTTCAGTTCTACGGCCATTCTGCCTCATACCGGTTTCATTTACTACACTCCAATGGTGCAGGAACTGCCCATCGACCTTAGGCGCAAGGCCACCAGACTCATTGCTGCCAAGTGTACCCTGGCTGCCCGCGTGGACTCTGTCCACGCTTCGTCCGATGCTGAAATCGGTCGTAAGCTTCTCGATGAAATAGAGATGAAGATAGACAAATGGCAAGAACCGCCACCACCCAAGCCAGTTAGAGCTCTTCCGAAGCCACTCGATCAGGCAAGCAAGAAGCGAGGAGGTCGTAGAGTGAGAAAAATGAAGGAACGCCTAGGACTGACTGAGCTACGTCGCAAAGCTAACAGGATGAATTTCGGAGAGCTAGAAGAAGACGTTCTTCAGGATGATTTGGGTTTCTCGTTGGGACAGATGAAAACCGGTGGTCCTGGGGGCCGACTTAGGACTCCTCAGGTCGATCAAAAAAGTCGAGTTCGACTAACGAAGGCGTTGCACAAAAATCTTCAGAAGCAGTCTTACGGCGGCACCACCTCTATCAAGAAAAATATTTCCGGCACAGTTTCTACCGTAACCTTTACCCCCGTCCAAGGGCTCGAAATTGTTAATCCACAGGCAGTCGAATCTGACAGGAAAGTTGCCGAAGCAAATGCCAAATATTTTGGTGCCGTGACGAAGTTCGTCAAAGTTCATACACCTGTTCCGAAAATCACCCCTGATACTAAGACGAAAGAGGAAACAATTCAATAACTATTGTAAAGTGATAATCGTGTTTAAAGTGTAAAAATAAAAAATTGGATTTTGTGTTTATTTGTTCACTGAGTCTTTATCAGCCGGACTAAATGTAAAAGAATTTCATCAGTTGAGAATTGCTCGATTGTATTCATGCTCGATTGTATGCATGCTATTCATCGAGCAAAAGTAACAAGCAATGTAAAACACTCAACACCGTATCCAGATTTACACGGCGTAGATGCACCGTCAATAGTTTTGTTTATCCCTGTCCAATGATGCGATTTCGCATTCATGTACCGCAAGTGCTAAAATACCATGATTATGTGAATTGCTTAAGCGGTCTCCTAAGCCACCAGGAGCAAAGGTACGGTGCGCCCCCCACCCTGTAAATCCTAAGAATAGAGAATGTTATTTTGTTACCGGCGGTATGGAAAACTAGCAGGTTTGCTAGCAAGCCCGTAATGTCAGTTCATTTTTATGTACTGTAAAATCGCCACAGGAAGCTGGGCGTGCTTACAAGTAGCGTTTTGAATACGATACTATAGCGCTGATCAGATTCTTCTGCAGGAAGCGTTATATAGGATTACTGATGAGCGTGAGAAAGATCCAGGAAGAAAATAAAGCCCCGTATAAAGTAACGCTGAAATGTTGAAAGCACCGTGATCGTTTAGCACGTGTGATGATCAGGAGATTTCTGCACCATCAGAGTAGGAAATCTAACAGATCTTCGTGCCATGATAGAAAAGTCGATACATGAAAAGCGTGAGTTAAGTAAAGACTATTGATATCTGGCTTGGTTAATGATCTACTAATTTGCGAGGTGTAAACTGATCATCATCTGATCATAACCGAATGTTACTGGATTTGACCGAATAGCGAATTAGTTTCTGTTCCTACCGGCATACATCAGCTACCATCCTGAGCAGCAACAGATTGATAATCAGAATTCCGGTATCGTAAGCTTGCTTGCAAACTCCGTTTTCAATATTACCAGTAGCAGTAACGTTCTGCTGCACTTCTGATTTAAACGGCGTAGGATACTGTCCCCGTGTATCTATCAGTCTAGGGGACGGTTTAAACAGGCCACGGCTATACCTCAGAAGTTACATTAAAATCTTACTAGTGGCGACACTGAAAACTAACAAAACCATAATAACCTGGTTTGCTTTATATGTATATATGCCTACGGACTGACGTGTATTTTAACATGAGTTTGTTCGACCTTTGATAGTGACGCAGTTTTCTATTCATGCAATGCAGGCGTTAAAATATAGAATTATGGCTTGCTTCAAATGATGCCTTAGGCCACTAGTATCAAAGGGGCGATGCGACTAGACCGTATGAATACGAAGAAGAATGTAAAACAGTTGTCTGCGTAAACTTCAAGATTGGTAACTATGGACTGCAATCACTGATGCTCATGACTCCGGATCTGACATCACCGAATAATCATTAAAAACAATCATTTCCCTCGAGACGTGTCCCTGCAACGAGTGCAATATACAAAGAATGGCAAGCGTGCTCCATTCGGAAAAGAAGCCGGTAAACTAATAATTTAATTTAAGCTATAACTGATACAACGGTACACTCTTAAAAAACAATTCGCAAAAAAAGGTATCAACAAAGTACCAAAATAAAGAAGTGCACAAGAAACAGTCACCTGGAAAAATAGTATGTACAATAAAACAGGTGAAAGACTAAAAACGCGCCTCGACGCACGCTTGAAAACAGAATATAAACGCACGACTGCAAATACGTACTACAGTAATGACGCTGAAAAACTGAGCGAGCACCAGAAAGCGCAAACAATGTACAACCGCGACGGCAGAAACCTGTGAGTGAAACAAACAAATAAAAAACATGAGGTCAGAAGAGCGCGATGTCCCTCATTCAACTTTTAAATAACTACCGCATAGGAAAATCGGTCAGTTAAAAATCACACTTTCAGCTTCACACTTTCGCTTCTTTGACGAGTTCTGACAAGGTGTCAATGCTCTTCCGGACGCGCAGAGCCGTAAGTCTTGCCGCAGAATTTGCCGCCCAGCACTCTCGCATTATTCTGGTCATTCCTTGCAAAACCTAAAGCAAATTCCTTCATATCTGAATGTTAAACTTCGCTTCGTCAAGAATTAAAAGTGCCATCTGTTTTTTTCGACAGCGGGGCATACTTCTAAAAGAGACAAATAAATTTTCAGGATAGAAAAAATCGTCTGGGGCCGAAATGCTACAACGAAAAAAGTCAAATTTTCTATCGACTGGGCGCTACTTCGATACAGTAAGAAATTCCGCCCATCTCGATAATCCTGTTCAATTGCTGACAAGAACATCAAAACATATGATAAAGTCATCGCTCACAGATAAAGACAATTTTTCCAATAATTCTGTGAAGAAGTTCAGCCGTTCGCATAAGCCGAAAGTCTATGCATTACCATGTCTACTGCTATCGCAGCTTATCAACGCTCATGTTATAAGGCATCATTTACTGCACTGCAGAAGAAAATATTTCTCCCAGCAATCAGAACCGTGTCAACCTTGTTTCTATGGGTTATGGTAGACTCACGAGCGACGTCTGAAGTATTATGGCTCCCACATGAAAAGTTCACGGTTTATAGTAGGTG